TTTTGAAGTGTTGATGAATTCCCGCTTAGAGAAATAAACTCTGTTGTAAGGGAAACGACGTGTACTTCTTGTGAAATCCTATTGGGAAATCCTGATAAATTTGGCGACTTCTAACAGGGAGTGATAACTGGAAGTTTTGTTCGGTTGGGGATTAAACTGCACACTGCGGACGATTTTATGGAATAACTTAAAGATATTTCCTTGTCTCTTAAAGCCATTAGTGATTGTCTTTCTATTTTGTTCATTTGTAAATGGTAGTATGTTCAAATGCATATTTTCAAAAATAAATCATTGGACGTTTTCGTAAACAAACACAAGAGTAAAGAAAAACATATAGTTTTGCACTTTCAAAGGGCTACCTTTGTATTGACTTTGAGTAAGTATTTTTGTACAATGAGACAACCATTCTAGTAAGAGAATGCCGTCGTAAAAAAAATGAAAATTTGATACAAATAAAAGATAGCTATGTGAAATAATCCCATGGGGTTCCCATTCTGCTATAGCCTTCGTGTCTTTGAGCATCTTATCTATTTGTTGCCTTGTCTGAAGCTGATTGAATTGATCAGAATCGTTGAGTTTGTAGGTTGTCCGTAAGGTGATCAAACAGGACATAGTCATACACTTTAATTCCCTAACTTTTTCCTGGACCGCCCTTTCGGGTTTTCAGTCCACCGGGATACCCTTTTTTGCCCAAGCCTCCCTTTCGGGTTTTCAACTTGCCGGGTGTACAGATTTTTTTGTTTTATCCCTAATTTTTGCCCGAACCTTTTTGGTTTGCCGGGATGCCCTTGTTTTGCCTAGGTGTGTCAACCTAGAGGGTTTCTTATGCGTAGTATCTTTTGACTATGTCCGTGTTCACGGGGTGCGGCAGGTCGTCGCCATTCATAGTGGTCAAGATCATTGCTCCACCAGATAATATGCTTTTGATTACAAACGGTCCTTCATATGTAGGAGTCCATTTTCCCCTGGGATCACCTTGCGACAGTATGATGCGCTTGATCATCAAATCCCCAACTTGATACACTTGGCATCTGACCTTTTTGTTGAAAGCCTTGATCATATGTTTTTAATACATTGACCATGACAGACAGTAGTAAGCCTTTTCTCATCAATCAAGTTCAGTTGATCAAGTAGAGTCTGGATCCAATCGTCTTTGTTCAGCCCTGCATCCTTCATAATTCTTAGAGATGGGATCTGAACCTCAATAGGCAAGACAACTTCTATGTTGTATACCAAAGAGTAAGGTGTTGCCCTGGTTGATGTGTGTGTCGTGGTATGATAACCGTGGAGAGCGAATGGTAGTGTGATACGGTGGGAGAACTGACTTGGTGTTTTGCGTTTCGATCGCATTTGTGCGGATAGCAAGAGTTGCCACCGACTTTTCTTTTATCAAAAAGGAAAGGGAAAAAAGCATAGGAAAAACCTTTCGAGATTATTTCTCGGGTTCGAGGGGTAGATTATGAAAAGGGAAGGTATTATCGCCCTTTTCATCCATGGTTTTCCATGGGCTCTTAGTTACTCGTTTAGATCACTTGCTTTTTGTTTTGACAGTGTGCTTGTGATGTGGGCTTTGAAAGTGTTTTGAAAAATCTCTTTGTAATGGTTCTCGTTTCTATAAGAACGCGTATAAAGTTTTGTTTTGAAAGATGGTTCAAAGATGTGTTTGTAGATTGTGTTTTAGAAAGTGTTTTGAAAAAATGTTTTGCAATGGTTCTCGTCTCTATAAGAACGTATACAAAAGGTTTTGTCTTTTGAAAATGTTTTGAGATGGAAGTGTTGGTGTAAAATGTTTTTGTCGTGAGCAAGCGAGTAACTAGGAGCGAATCTACCTACTCGAAAGGTCTCAAGGTTCTTTTATTCCTCCTTTAGATGTTTCTATCTTACCATTGATTTGGTAAAAAGCCCCATCGTTGGATGTAAAGGGACAGGCGCGGGTCAATTTTACAGTCATCGAAAGCAACTTATGTGACGCTTTAGCAATTTTTGTAAGAGACGAGATCGTTTTATCGAAGGCAACGTCGAGGGTCATCGAGGGACTACGATCTTTTTTATCGAAGGGTCATTTGCTAAAACGTCCCATACTCTAGGGACATGACTGTATTTCCGAGGCAACGAGCGAGGTTATCCTAGAGGTGCGCGTGTGAAAAAGTGTGTTTGACTCAAGTTAATTTGATCTTTGAAATTAGGTTAACTAGCGATTGATTTTTTGATCTTGCCATACACGCCTAATTACTATACAGTAATGAGTAAAACAATCAAAAAGCGGAAATTGAAATTCTACATTATTACAGAGCTTCGGGAATGGGGGTACAAATTAATGAATGGGGGTGACAGTAAGAAATAAATATTTAAATCACATAATACAAGTCCAAACCGTTAAATAATTATTTAGGTTAAAACTCTTTCCATTTGATAAAATTAATTAAGGACTTAATTAATAATGTCAAACAAAAATTATTTTAAAGTTAATACTTATTTAAAACAAATGTTAACATAATTACATTTTTTAAATATATGCTGAAGAGATAAAAATCAAATAATGAAAAAGAAAATATTAACAACAAAAAAAATAATAAAAAGGGGAAAATTAGAAATGGGCCTGCAAATAGAGTAAAATAGGGGGTGCAGAAATTAATAGGACCAAATATTTCTGGCCAATCCAGTGTAGTAACCCCTTGGAGGTGTACCATGGGCGTGCATCTAAGATGTGTTGAAAGGGTTGTGATAAATGATCAGATGGATGATGAGGGTGCATCAAATTAACATGGGGATGCAAATGAGAGATCATTCGGGGTAACTAAAGAGGTGGTGACAAGTGTCACCACCGGATTGGGCCAAAGTGTTGTTATCAAACAACACAAAACTCAACACGATGAAGTCAGGCCTCATAATTCATTGTTTTTTCTCTCTCTTACACGCTCTACCCTCTCTCTTCTCTCTTACTATGAGTCTTCACCGGAGAAGACCCTTTGGTTGCGCCAGAAATCGCCTTACGGCGGTGACGGCGGCAACGTGTCTCAAAACCCTATTTTTCTTACATCTTTCTGATCGTTTCACTTTCCTAGTTACTAATTTGTGATCAATTTCTGCAGATTTTCATTTGGTGATCCTAAATCTAGAAAGGGGGAACATGAAACCCTAATTTTCCGTTTGGTGAGATCGGTGAAGGTAGCGATGCATGCAACAATATATTCAACGAGAGTAAGGAAAGAGAAGAAAGAGATCATTGGTGAGGTCCGGATCTGTAACCTTACTAACCTCCTAACTTTCTTTTTGGTAAGATGGCTCTGACTCTGTATTTGTGAATGACTTTCTTTCTTCTTCTGAGCTTGTGTTATCCTGGTTATCAGATTAGGGTTTTTGTTGCTTGTTTGTTTGCTACTGACTTGCTGGGTCTTGTGTATTCTGAATGGACTTTGAAAAGGGAAAAAATGATGAAAAATACTTGGCTTTTTTTTTCTGTTTGTTTGCTACTGATTAGTTGGGTTTTGAATAATGTTGTTTGATGACAAAGTTTGGGTGGTGGACTTTGGTTCTATGTTTTTTGCTGGTTTTTGATGATGGTTGGATGGTTGTTTTTGATGGATATTGTGATGTTCCAGTTGGTTTGAGACAAAGGGATTTCTTGAACTTTTTGGTTCTGAGTTTTTTGTGGTTTGCTAGTTATTTTTGCTTCTCTTCTGTTCTGGTTTTTTTGTGATGTTTCAGTTGGCTATGTTGGCTGCTGGTTTTTTGTAGTGATGGCTTTTGTTCTATGATGTTTCAGTAGATTTGAGACAAAGGGCTTTGTTGAACCTTTTGTTCTGAGTTTTTTTGTGGTTTTGCTATTTTGCTAGTTTTGTATCTCTCTTTTGATATCTGCTGGTTCTCCTCTTTTTATAAAACAGTAATCCTTGTTATCTGGTTAGGGTGAAAAAATAGGAGGGAAAAACTTTGAATTTGACAGTTTTGGCTTTTCTAGTTTTGGGCTTTGAGTGCAGTTTGAACTGTTTCCATTTTGGTGCAAGTCTGAGCAGTTTTTTGAACTGTATTGCAGACTAATTTATTGTGGTTTATGTTGACATGCTTTTTTGTAGAATTTGAACAGATTTTGGGACTGCTATGGACAGCATACGGAGGCTTTTTGAACAGGTCTTCTTGGACCGTTTCTTATAGCAACCTATTTGTCTTGGCATGGCTTTAGGTTATTTGTTGGCTAGGTGATATCTTTCTTCTTTCCTCTCTTTGTGAGATAAAGCATTTTTGCTTTTGTTGCATTTTCTGAAGGGTTTGCTTATTTTTTAGGAAAATGAGGATGTTTGACTTGTATTACAGCATTTGATGCCTTTGGCTTATTACTTGCATATTGTTTGTTTTGTTCTGTTGTAGCTTTATGTTGTTGCCTTTGTTTATTATATATTGGTTTGCAACACTTGTTGTGGGTTTGTTACAGGTTTGATTCTAATTTGGACAGCTTGCTTGTTGTCTGCTATTTGCAGTCTGTTGCCTTGCATTTTGTGCTGCTGTAATTGCTTTGCAAAGCACTGCCTTTTTTTGTGATGCAGTTTGGCTGTTGGTATTGTTTGACTTGTACATTTGACTGCTGCTATTTACAGCCTGTTGCTTTTGTTACTGTTTAAACTTGCTGCCTTGTCTGTCCAATTTATATATTTATTTCTTTTTCCCTTTCTTTGTGAACCAAAACTTAGGTTTTGAGATTTACAGAAATAAGGAGAAATGGACAAACAAAATTCTGATTACTAAAAGCAAACCCTTGGCTGTTGGTTGCTCATTCAACTAAAATTGAAATTCTACTTAAAAAGTGTAGTTAGTGTAAATTTGTAGACCGATAGTGCACTACACAAAAGTATATTTAATTATTTATAACTTTGATTTCATTCACAGCTATTGATCGGCAGATACAGTGTTTGGATTCTTTATTTTTTTCACTAATGAAGTGCCCATACAACTGAACTTCATAAACCTACAACGTTTACAATGTAATGAAGGGATTCTTCATTTTAAATACTTTTCTTTGCACCAATCAATGGGTCAATAACATTCCTCCAATTGCTGTAATTAAGAGCACTTCCTGCATCAGGCAACACAAATCCATTCACATAGAAAAAAGGCGTTCCAGACACCCCTCTCGAAGTAGCGTACTGCATTTCAAAGAAACTTGGATTAATCAAACAGGAAGGATTAAATCATAGGGCTGTCACATGAAAAATATTAATCTTGGATAGAATAATTTCAAATTCAATTATATTCTAGTACACGAATTTGATCTGAATACAATCTAATAGATAAAAGATTTTGTGTTACCTTAAAAGAAACCCTGGTTTGGAGATCTGTGTTTGTGTCATTGAAGCCATTCTTAATAGAAGTCTGAGAAGCGCTCCCAATTACAGATGCTACAAACTTCACTATTTCATCTACAATAGAAGCTCTAGATAAGTTCCGTGTTGGAGCACCGTAGAATTTCTCCTGTTAAAGAGTAGGCACTAGATTTAGTGAGCAAGAAACATGAATAACTTTTCTCATAGAATCAAGGGAAAATACAAATTAGAACACTAAAGATTATACCATGTGTGTGTGTTTTAGACTCTAACGATTAAAGCATGTATTTTGATCGTCAACAATGTTAAAATAAGCAAGACTACAATCCTAGTTTGCTACAAATTGGTTGTGAAAGGGTTTATTTTGCATATTTTTCATGCATGTTTCTGCACAATGACAGAGAAAACAATAAGCAAGACTAGCATCCGGATTGCATGTGAAAATTTCCTAAAATACGAATGTCTAGATTCAACAAAGAAACTTTTCATCATGTGAACCCTGCCTGAAATTTGAAGCTCGGACACAAATACAAACCCCGTAGACGACCCCGGCACTAACTTGAAGCAAGGACAGAGATACGGACACCGGACACAACACCGCATTCACACATCAACAACGATAGTAATTTGAAAAAGTAAATAAATTGAACGTAATCAGAAATGATATTTTCGTGTCGGTGTTGGTGTCCGAAACTGAAAGGATTCCGACAATTTTTTTAAGAGATGTCGGTGCTATAGAGTTTAGCACATGCAAAGCGCAATCACCATGTGAATCACCTTGAAAATTCCATTGAAATTTGAAAACAACCTTTTAGAAAAAATCTATCTAATTCTAATCCAACATGCAAATTCACTGAAAGAATCAAAAGCAATGGAAACTCTAATACAAAATTGTAACACAATCCAACCTGATGCTTGAAAAACGACTCCAGCACTGGAAATGTAGCAGATCTATCCAAACCATTCACTATGTGCAAAGCACGAGACGCAACAAAAGAATTGTCATGATAACTGCAATTATATATATAAAAAAAAATCAGATAATTTAATCTGTAAATACTACTAGCATGCAAAAACCTACTGATATTGTAATTGAAAGAAAAAGAGAGAGATCGGAGGACAAACGGTAAAGGAAGAAGATGAACAACGAGGGAAACACGAGCGGCGTAGTGTTGGAGAGCTTTTTTGAGAGGTGGCCATGAATCAGCGCTGTCAGGGCACAAAGGATCGTAGAAAGCTTCAATCAGAATGGTATCGTAATCGAAGTGACGATTCTTGTAAACGAAACCGTCTGATTTGGCCGGCGGGATGTAATCACCTCCGACCAGTAGTACCTGCAACTGCAACGCGAGCAGTATAAGTACAGTTAATATTCCATTCCCGTGTTCCCCTGACATCTCTAATTTTCTCTCTCTCTCTCTCACACACTAACTTTACTTTCCCTCTCCTCAAAATCCAATCCAAATTTTATACTGATTTCAATTTCAATAATAGATAGATATAAAAAGAATCAAATCAAGATAACGTTATATAGAGTATTATTTATTTGTTAATATTTTTAATATTTATTTTATATATTCTTCAATGTTATAAAGGAAAATTTCACCAAAAAATGTTGAAAAGGAATTTATTTAATGAAAAAGTACATTGAATTTGGCCGGATTTTCGTACTTAACAATGACACTACATAAGAACCAAGACTGAATACATGATAAATATCGATGCGTCTGGACAATTGGTATACTTTGACTAATAAAAGTTTAATATCCTTTTTAGCCTTCTATCTTAATTTTGGATTTGTTTCTTTAATTAAAAAAGATTTATATTTGTCTTTAACTTTCTAAAATATATATTATGTTAATTATTTTTATTAAATTAGCATCAAATTTGACTATCGGTTTTTAAATTTTCATTATTAATTAGATTTAAAAAAAAGACTAATATAGTAGTATCTTTTAAAAAGTTAAAATATCAATATGCTTTTAAGTTAAAGAGGCAACATGAATCTCCAAATTAAGATACAAGATAAAAAATATTAATAATATATTTGAATTGGTTTTTAAAGATTCAGAATTAATTAAAGAGGTGTAGAATTGTTTCTGGTTGATTTTGAAGTGTTTGTTTTATCAAAAATAGAATTGATTTTCTTTTCAAAATTGATTCTACTTGAAGTTAGAATTTGTAGTCTCTGTCTCACGTTTTACACTCAAATTTATTATTCAACTCAGTTTTACATAAATGTATCAAAATATAAATCAATTCTGATAAACTCAATTTCATAAAAATCAATTCTACCAAACTCAATTCTAATATAATCAATTTTGGAATTTTTTGTTGTTGCAATAATCAGGTATTGAAAAAAAATCGCAAATAACCATGTTTTGGAGAAAATTACGCAAATAACCATGTTTCAGAAAACTCCACAAAGGAGGAGCCGAGTGAGATGGCGCATGCACTGACCCATTTCACTATGCCAAACAGGGGATTGGACAGCGCTTTTTTAGGCCTTTAACAGCGCTTAAAAGCGCTGCTAAAACCTCTGCTGCTAAAGGTATAGACAACGTTTTTAATGTGGAACTTTAGACAGCGCTTTTATCAAGCGCTGTCTATTCCCCCCCTTTAGCAGCGCTTATCCTTAAAATTGTTTAATATTTTTTTTTCAATCACTTTAGACAGCGCTTTCTAAAAGCGCTGTCTATTACCCCCGCTTTAGCAGCGCTTTTCCTTATTTTTTTTTAAAAAAAAAATTTTTCAATCACTTTAGACAGCGCTTTCATGAAAAGCGCTGTCTAATACCCCCCCTCCCCCCCTCCCTTTAGCAGCGCTTTTCCTTTTTTTTTTTTTTTTTAAAAATTTCAATCACTTTAGACAGCGCTTTCATGAAAAGCGCTGTCTATTACCCCCCCCCCCCCCCCCCCCCCCCCCCCCCCCCCCCCCCCCTTTAGCAGCGCATGCATGCGCCATCTCACTTGCCTCCTAGGGCAAAATGCATTTTTTATAAATAAGTCTTCCGTTTCTTCGTCATTTTTCACACTTTCTCGCACCGTCTTCTTATTTTTTTCTCTGTTATTTGCGTCATGACATCTCCCATGATTTTTACCAGAGATGGTTACGTTATTTTCTCGGCCACCAAACCTCCGGTGAAAATGAAATTTTGGCACATTCACTCCATGGAGCGTCTGAAGAGAGAGTTGATATGATGGCTAGAGGGAGACATCGAGGATGGGGAACAAACTAGAAGGATCCAACGAAGAAGAACAACCACCTCACTTGCAACATGAAGACCTAATTTTTGGTTGAAGGAAGTCAAAACAGACAAAGACGTAATATTGATGATGCATGGGTCAGATGAAATTGTTTTAACGGTTGTAATTTTATAGATGTTTTATCGTGTTTTATTTGTTGTTTGTGGAAGATTTGTTGTAACAAATGCTCTTAATGAAAAACCGTAATGTTTATAATTTAAAAAAGTGAAGATGTTTTGTAATACAATTTTTATGTGGTTGAGCTAGTAGCCCGAGTCGGACAATTTTTGCGATTGTGTCTGACTTGACGACATAAACCACACTTTCTTTCCAGCTTGTCAAGGGAGTCCATTTCAGTTGTGATGCGATTGCTTTTGGGACAACCTTTTTTATTCCTTCGCATTTGGTCATTATGCCATACTATTTTGCCGTCGTATGCAGACTGTTATACCCCAAAATTTGTCCTCCCATATTCCTCAAGAAATTGCCAAGCCAAGTCACAAAATTCCCCAAGGGTTGTGCAGGTCAACTGTCTCCTATACAGTCAAAACTAGGGTTTGTGTGCTGATCAAGAAAATGGAGTGTTCAAAGGCCCAATCAAGTCTCATATGCTTACAAACATGGTCAAGCATCCTCATATCAAGTTTCAAGGCATTCAGCTCAAAATTGCACAGTCAAAACCCTAAATTGCACTACAGTCAACTGTAGGGGCAAAATGGTCATTTGGCAGTCAAAAGTTCAAATTTTTGGTCAACATATCATTTTGAAGCCACAAACATCATTTGATCAATGCTTGATCATGATTCTCAAAATTTGGCTCAGAAATCATCAAAGATGCAAAAGTTGCTATATTTGGACAGCTGAAAAAGTCAACTGAAATTGACCAGGGCATAACTTTCACATGGATTATCAGAAAAATTCCATCCAAATCTCATTTTGAAGAGAAAGACTTTTCCTACAACTCATCTTCATACTTCAAGTCCAAGAAATGCTCTCACAAAAAGTTATCAATTTCAACATTATAGGTCATTTTCAAAAGTCAACAAAAAGGGACTTTAAGTCAAAGACCATAACTTGAGATTGGTAAATCAAAATGACATGGGACCAAAGGCATTGGTTAGAGGACTCAAAGACCTTTCCAAAATGTCCAAGAACATGTGAAAAGCTTAAAAATTGAGCAAGTTATGCCTTGTAGAAGTTGGGAAATTTTTGTGAAATGGCAAAAGTCAACTATCCTTGAAACTCCAATTTTTGACAAAAGGGCCCACTTTCTTCCACTTGATTCATCCTTGTCACGCCACACACGTGTCCCATGATTAATTTCAAGACCAAATATTGATTTTTCTATTTTATTTAATTTTTGATAATTTAATTCATTTTAAATCTTTAAAAATTCAAATAAAATTCAAAAAACCAATGGAATAGTGTCATTTGAATTTGGACAACTTCCATATATCATGGGCCAACTCAAAAACTCAGGCTAGGGTTAAATTGCACACTAAGTCTTGGTCTTGGCTTAAAAGAAGGAAAATTGGTTAATGGTGAAAACCCTAGGACTAGTTCTTTCATGAGCATGAATTAAGGCCAACTAACAAGCTAATTCTCTTCCATCATAAGCACTGAGTCAAACCCTAAGCCTTGGACACTATAAGCTGCGCCCAAAAAAAGCTATTGCACATTAAAAATTTTCCATAAAAACACAAAACTGATTTCAAGGTTAGAGGTGGATTCAAGGCATAAAAATCATCCCATTAGCTTCCTTGGGAAATTCTGAACGTGTATCAATCACAAACAACAAGCCAATCTCCAAGAATTGGTAGTTAGAACTCGAACTGTATAGCAAAATTTCCAAAATCGTGCATCATGATTTAAACATTTTTACAGCATTTTGTCCATTGATTCATGTTTAGCATAATGTTTTGAGACTAACCATCATGTTCAATTGAGTTTTCATTGGCCATGCGCGATTCTACCATTTTCATATTCTAGGTTTTTTCAGAGCTTGATTTAGGGCTTTCACAATACAGTAAAATTAGGGTTCCAGACTTATGCCATTCAAACCAGCTCATCAAGACGAGGAGATATGGACCCTCGCGATCAATTTATTGATGTCACAGCGCTAGTCGCTATTTTTCATAAACATGCCTAACACAACGCGTTGAAACCGTTGCCTCTGTGTTTTGTATTTCAGGCACGCGAGGAAGATGAGTACATGGCACGCTGTGATTCGTCAGTTCAAAAATTGGCGCGTTGAAGGCCACTAACTCTCTTTTCTTTTTATTATATTCATTAATCATTATATGTTAAAAGTAACTCAAGTGCTTCAGTGGCAGGCGTATTCCTTTGCATTGTCTAAGACCTGGGTTCGAACCCCAGGTCTGTATAAATTTCAATAATATTTTTCAATACAAGATCTTGTGCAGCGCTAACGTCCAGGGCATACCATACACACTCAAAACTCATCGTCCACACGTCCCAGTAGATCAATCAAAGGGCTCAGATTCAAGGCACATGATACGCTATGGTCAACGCATTGGCACGTGAACTGAAAAGTCAAGTGGATTTCAATGTTAATGGGCCAGAATGCTAGGCCTTACCTCCAATTCTGGGGCTACCCCCCCTGGTTTGATTTTCTTTTTATATTTCATTTTCTCAATTGTTATGTTATTTATTTATTTTATTTGTTTTAATTAATTAATTATTTCTACAAAAATATGAAAAATATCATAAAAAATCAGAAAAAGGCAAAAAATATAATTTTTATTTTAATTACTTTTATAAATAAATTACATGTAAATAAATTTAGTAAAATAGGTTTTAACTTTAATTCTTTCTTCCATAAAAAAATCCAAAAATATAGCATTAGGTTAATGACTTTTTTTGTTCCTTTTAACTTTCCTTGGTTTTTGCCATAATATTAGTAATTTTCATAATTAAACTTGTAAACTAATTAGGGTTGCATTTAGGTTAGATTTTACTACTTTCTTAATAACTAAAAATCCAAAAATATAGCATTAGGTTTAATGACTTTTTATACCTTTTAAATTTTCCTTTTTTTATCACAATATTATTTATTTATTTATTTTATTTTTATAATTAAATGTACATAAGTAAAAATTAGGGTTTAATTTAGATTAATATAACATTTTCAC